TATATATATATATATATATATATATATATATATATATGTATATATATGCCTCATTCTATACGAATCATAAATTAAATCAACTATGTATATATATACATATATAACTATATATACATATATACACCTTATTCTATGGCAAAATATTTAATTAATTATATTTACGCCAATTAAATGTTACTAAATATCATAGCAACACTCTAAGGCTCTCAGAACACTAAGAACACACCCCCTAATGGTTAATTTTAACCCTAACAAGCTTAAAATAAATTCTGCAAATTCACCGGACTGCACAGGACCTTAACAGGACCCTAAACAGGGCCTCACGCTCCCCCATGCGCCACTACACGGGCCTAAAGCCTCTGAACTCGCCTCCACACGCCACCTAGCACTGGCAGCTAACCTCACGCGCACTCACGCACTCCCACGCGCCTGATCCTCCTCCTTGCTGATGTGGCATGCTACCATTCGTTGGATGGGCAACCTTGTCCTTATGCGGCGGCACACAGGATCATCTCACCGCATCTCCATACATCTCCATGCACCAGCGCCACATCATATCAACTCACCCTTCAATCAGCCACATCTAAGGCTCAAATTTGTGGCACACTAATCCTCCGTACACCCGTATCACACCGAATCAATCCACTAACTCTAAACTAATCCAAAAGCCCAGATCTACATATGTACCATATTATCATGCGTCGTACTACACCGAAACAACCAATGATTATCACGACCATCCTAAGGTCCTGATTTAAGCGCTTGAAGTGTCATGCGCCTTGCTGCACCGAATCCCAGCCCTTTAATGGGTGCACCGATTTTAAATAGCCTCTAGTGTATAGAAACATTAAAAATTATACTAAAATAATTATAACAAAATTCAAAATTCAAAAAAATAAAAATAAAAACAAATCCAGAAAAATATCTATAAAATTCCAAAAATTATAGAAAAATTCCAGAAACTCTAAAAAAACCCTAATTAATCATATTGGGTCTAGGATCAACCTATAGATTAATAAAATATATGCAACACACATATATACCAATTAAAATCCAAAATTCCAAAAGAATAAAATATAATAATTTAGACTTTTGAATAATCCGATCTACACATGATTTAATCAAATAAATTTAATTTAATGCTTTGATTAATTCGTTCTATCCATAATTTTAATTTAAAACCTTAATATAAAATATTTATGAGTTCTAAGAGGAAAGATAGAGAAGAACTCGTCTGAAGGTTTTGAAACAAAATCGACGCTTCAAGACTCTTCGAATTCTGACATCCTCTTTCTTCGATTCGGTCTCCTCCTTGTCGGCCTCCTCTTCTTCTTTTTCTCTCTACTTCTCTTATTTTTTTAACGTATAAACCTTTTAATCTTAAACCTTATGTGTATATTTATACACATTAAAACCTAACTCCTATTCTAATTAGGACCACTAATAAGATAATAATCTTTAAATAATATAATATATATATACATATATTATATTACACACATATATATATTTATCTTCCATAATTAACCGTTAGTTAATTAAATCATATAAACCTATATATATCCATAAATATATATCTCTATATATATCTTTCCCTAACAATTATTAATTAATTATATTTATATATAATTTTATATATTTATAATTAATACCAAAAATGATCATTTAAATAATTAAATAACCATGAGCCTTTATTAATTAACCCAATAAGGCCTCCTTCAAGCCCAAGACCAAATCATTTGGTCCAACTTCCCTTAAGCCCAATCCAATTAATTTAAATTAATTAATTAAATACTGAAATTAAAATAACTAATTACATGAAACACATAAACAAATAAGAATTTACAACTAAGTCACACAAGACCAATAAAATCAACACACCAATAATTCAATCAATAATCAACCACACAAACAATCAATCATCATACATAATCATGAAATATAACTTAATTAAAATAAAATAATTAATCTAGCACTCAATAAAATAAAATAAATCATTGAAAAATAAAATAAAATAATTAATCCTAATTAATAAATCCTTTAAAAATATCGGGGTATTACAGATACTACTTTATTGGAAATAAGTGGGCTAGACAAACAAATACAATTCACTATAATTTGGAAGAAAAATGAAGGAAGAAGTATATTATTTCAATTAATCCCAACTTATTCAACTTTTCTCTCCTCATAAAATAGGCATAGTACATGAGTTTATATAGGCTCTAAGACATATGTAACCAATTACATTTCAATGCCCAATTACTCCCACTAATCCCACTAACATAGTATTTAGTAGACTTAATTCTCATGTCTTTCACTAACACAAATACAAACATCCACTAACATAGTATTTAGGAGACTTAACTCTCATGTCTTTCACTAACACAAATACAAATATCCACTAACATAGTATTTAGGAAACTTAATTCACATATCTCTTAGTCTTACATAACCTTCTTCATCAAGACCATTTACTACCCCACTAACATGAGATGCACACATGCATCATGTATACCAAATACTTGAAAATACAAATTATAACTAAAATTCTAAAATCAAGTTTATTTTCAACAGTTACTACCCCACTAACATAGTATTTAGGAGACTTAATTCCCATACCTCTTAGTCTTATATAACCTTCTTCATCAAGACCATTTACTATCCCACTAACATGAAATGCACACATGCATCATGTATACCAAATACTTGAAAATACAAATTACAACTAAAATTCTAAAATCAAGTTTATTTTCAACAGTTTCAGCTGAGAAGTCTTGAAACTGAGACATGTTCTACAGATCTCATACAATCTCATTAAGGTTACATTTTATTTTATTTTATTTTATTTTTTGTCATTTGAAACTTGAATTACTTTTCACTTTCTTCATTTTCTCACCAATTAACAGTGAAAAATATGGAATTTGATCGATGAGTATACATTGATTTTTATTATTTTGAATCGTTGTAGCCATCGTCTTCACACAAGTCAGGCCGTCGATAGTAGTTGCATCTGCTGTTCTCACATATTTGGTCACTAAGTTTCCCGCCGAATTACTGAGCACGAAGAACGCATGTTAAGTTACAAATTTGTTACATGGGTAATGAACTGTCGATTTGATTATATATATATATATCGTCTTTAGAGGTGGCAATTGGGTGGGTTTGGGGGAGTTTTGAGCTGAGTATGAATGGATCAATATCCCATTCAAAACCCGCCAATGGTGGATCATAAATGGGTAAGGGCTCAAATGAGGCGGGTCAAAACGGGTTAATCCATTCTAACCTCTTTTTTTTTTTTTTTTTTTTTTTTAAATGACAAACAAGATTTCAAATTTTTTTTTTTTACTCAAATAAGATTCCATTTACCATATTAAATTGAAAAACTGAAATCAAAACCTTGTACTTTTAAAAAAAAAAACAACTAATAAAAATAATTTTCTAATTTTAAAAACAGTTCTTATAAATAAAAATACATATTATATATATATATATATATATATATATATATATATATATATATATATATAGTTGTTTCTTTACATTCTTCGAAGGGGCAATTTTTTTTTTGATAAGTAAGTGAGTATAAAAAATAGAAATAGGAGAACTGTACATGCATACCCAGGGTCAAAACAAAATAAAATCAAGCCCAATGGATAGGGCAACAAAAACAATACCAATTGTTGAAAAGTTAAAACCCCGGTACAAAAATATTAGGCCTAATAAAACAGAAAACCTAACAAAACAGGCCAAAGTAACCAAAGATCAGTCCGCATACATCAACTATACGTACATCTTATATTGATATATTCTTTATCAACTATACGTACATTATATATATATATATAATTCCCAATTACCACTCCTGGAAGAGAAAAAAGGGTAGGAAAGAAGAGAGGAGAAAGAAACGAAAAAAGACAGAAAACGAGAGGAGAAAGAGAGAGATGAGAAAACGAGATAAATGGGAAGAGAGAAGAGAGAGATATAAAGAGTGGAGAGATAAAAAAAAGGAGCGAGAGAGATAAAATGGAACAAAGTAATTTGATTTTGAAAAACATCATGTCTGGTGGGTTAAGTGGGTAACCACTCTTAACCCACTGCCAATCCATTAAATATATTACCCATTAATGAGTTACTCATTAATAACTCATTCAACTAAACTAATCAATAATCACCCAATACCCAATAATTGTTGGGCAGATTTGGGCGAGTTTTTGGATTTGGGTATATTTTGCCACCCCTAATCATCTTTGACCATATTCAGTTCTTTTCAGTCGTTTAATTAGATCATTTGATAATTAAGCCGAAACTTTAGATTCATTATTTATTTTTTTAAATGCTTTAAATTGTTTTTCAGTTGTAGTATATATAGTTGATTTTATGTATAATATGTTTGGTTTACCGTTATAAAAGAAATGTTGTAATTGGGGAATTTGGTTATAGGAGGAGCTAATTAATGTTTTTTATAAATAAAAAAAAAATTGGGGGTAAATAGATGGAGCAAAAGTTCTGCACGCGGTTGATGGCAAAATGGTACAGACTGAAGGAAGAAAAACGGACTGGTGGAGCTGGCGGAGGACAGCCACAACCACAACCACAAGAAAGAAGACGCAGTGTGAGGCCAGTGCTAGTACTAATCCACTGCCGATCACCTTTACATGGTTGATGCTATACTTCGAATTTCTTCAGCACAGCAACGGTCATCTGCCAACGCTACCAATCTGAAATTTCATTTCTTTTGTTTTCAAGTTTGGGTGGGTTTTGGGGCTTGGCCCGCTTGGGTATATTTTGCCGCCCCTACTTGCATGTATGTATATATATATATTTAATACGTACCTCGAGTTTTCTGTGTTGTACTGATTTATATACGTGTGAAATAAAGCCTAAGATAATACGGTTACACAAGCAATCAAAATCATCCAGGACTCTGATTTCACAAGGTATTAGGAGAAAATGAGTGATGGAGAATGTAGTTTTCATATTGGTTTTTATAAGAGTTGTGATCAATCGACAAGAAGTTCACAATCAATTCTCTGGAAATAAAGTTTCATATTGTTTAGGTCATAACCAATGTTGTAATTCTGTTGAGCAACAATCCCAAGTATACTCATCTGATTGGGTAAGCCACTTTCAACCATGGCCATGCAAAACATATTAGTGTCAGTCTTTCGGAACATGTTATCAATGTCTAGCATCAAGTCCGCCCCTCCAGCAAAATGAAATGTCACCACTGGGAATCCTTTAAGGTCTTCATCCACAACCCCCCTGTAACATAGGTACCCGGGGTTCTTGCTATCAACCTCCTCTGTCAGCAATCCACCTATCAAGGATTGCACCTCGGCTTTAAGTGGCTCGAACCCAATCCTTGTTAGAAGAGTATCCGTTGTACCTGAGTCGATCACCACCCCATCTTTGCCGAATAGATCAACGTTGATGTCAAGCCTTTTCTCTCCCACGCTTATGCCTTCCACGCTCAAATGGTATAGGCCGTAACGCACTGCAATTGGTGTTGAATAGCCTTCAATATAAGCTCCGTCCCCAATGATTAACCGGTTATGATTATAGTAAGGATCGTCTATATTGCCAATGCAATAAGAGAATTTAGAACTCAATCGAGAAGGCAAAGATATATCATCATAGCCGAGTCCCATAACTCCACTTAATTCGCCGGCTAAGATTTTATTAGAGTGTCCGCAGCCAAACAAGATGCTGGGAAAACTTGTTGTGCCTTCATCAGATGTCATGAATGTAAGCTTTTCAAAGGCAACATTTCCTGCTGTTGTACTGTTGTCCACGTATTGCTGTCTATAACCGCAACGAGAGAAACTATCACATCGAAATTGTATTTGACTATGAAACTTGAGGTGATTACAAGTAGCAGAATTGCACGGTATGTCTACATACGTGGATGACTTTGAAGGATCAAAAATGGGGTGTAACTGGTTGAAACATTTGGTACATGGGAGGCATTGAACCCATGTCAGGGTGCTGCCGGTGTCCATTATCGCTAGTTGCGGAACTGGTGGCTCTCCAATAGAAAAATTTAGAAGTAATTCTACGCCAGTATCAATCGGGATAACAACACCTCGGACATCATTTGTGGTGTTTAATCCGCTTTCTATCCTTGCCTTCAGGTAAGCAAAGCGTGCTAGTGAGCTTTCTGTAGCCCACCTAGCACGATCCAAGGTGGTGGCACCAGGGTTATAATATGGTGAGTGAATCGAATCACGGTGAATGAGTTTAATGACCAACCTACGAGGTTTTGTGATGGCAATCGTCCTCGTCGTGGTGGTGGTGGTTGCATCATTGCTTGAGCAGACCACAATGATGGAGGAGTACAAGAAAGAGTTTATTATGACGAAGAAATGCATAAACATCTTTACTGCTTTTCTTTTTTCTCCTTTTTGAACACACACCTTGGGCCAATAGAAACTCCACTAATTTATATATGACAAAATTGAATTTGAAATATTTGTAGTATATATGCATGGCTTGTCATATTCAGATGTTTACTTATCAACACATTCTTTTCCTTTACCTACTAAATCTGTTGAATCTATGACACAATCTTTTCCTTCTCCGCATTATATCGATTAATTTCTTACCCAGTTTCTAGCTATTCCAACATCAGCACAATGTTTGCTTAAACGTTGAAGAATGTCACATCTTTAAAAAATATGGTGGATAAAAGAGTGTGTTTAAGGTCCGTAATACATGGTTATTGGATTTCAATAACCAGCGGGTATGTTTATTGTAAAATTAATAATAGAAGTGTTTAAAAAAAAAATTATTATCAAATAAATTAAAAAATAATTTAATTGTAAAAAATATTTATTATAATGTGTTATCGAATACTTAACATATTTTTTACTACCTGAAATTTTTTAACAAAATGAGAATTGGTTGTCAATGATTGAATTCTCTACCCTGTCCACATGGTAAAGCAAATAAAAATAAATAAATAAATAAGAAGAGAAAGAGATGGGTATTGTGTCAAAACCTACATACATAGAATTCACCTTCCAAACATTTTTTCCTTTTCTTTTTAATTTTCCTGGGGTATAATTTTTTTTTTTTTTTTTTTTTTTTTTTTTTTTTTTTTTAAAGATTAACAATATATAATATTAATTGAAACAACAGAAAAGGAAAAAAAAAAAAAAAAAAATCATTCACTGCGATAGAGTTCTTCGAGAAAAGTATTTTATGGAAAGAAGAATTTTCAACAAAAACATATTATATATAGGAATAACCTTATATAGAAAGAAAAATGGTGAAGAAGATAACGATGAAAGGGTAGTTTTATCTAAAATTAGTTAGTACATTTAATATGTCATGTAAGATCTAAGGAGGACAATTGGTTTATTGACTTGTTAAAATATTATTTTCAGAGTAAGTAAAAAAGGTTAAAAAAGAAAGTTTAAAGTGCAAGGTAGTTATGGTATAATAAAATAAAGAATGAAGTATTATTTAGCTTAGGGACTTATTAGTCATTCACATTTAAAAAAATTAAATAAGAATAAAATATAAAACTTCTACCTAACAAGTATAGTTAAATTAATATAAAATTTGTCTCGAGCTAAAATATGTAGCATTTAAAAAAAATAGAAAAGAAAAGAAAAGGAGCATGTTCAAGGTCGACAATACTGATATGAAATCCCATTTAAAAGCACCAACCAATATATATATATATATATATATATATATATATACACACTAATGTGTAGGTAATTGATAAAATAAAAATAACATAATCAATTTCTTGTTGAATTTACGTAGTTTTATCTGTTGAATTTTATTGTCCTCAGACAAACACATACTTGTAAGAGTTGTGATCAATCCTCAAGAAGTTCACAATCAATTCTCTGGAAATAGAGTTTCATGTTGTTTAGGTCATAACCAATGTTGTAATTCTGTTGAGCAACAATCCCAAGTATACTCAACTGATTGGGTAAGCGACTTGCAATGACAGCCAAACACATTAGTGTCAACCTGTCGAAACATGTTGTCTATGTCTAACACAAAGTCAGCCCCTCCAGCAAAGTGAAATGTCACCACTGGAAATCCTTTAAGGTCTTCACCCACAACCCCCCTGTAACACAAGTACCCGGGTTTCTTAACAACCACCTGTCTCAATAATCCACCTATCAAGTATTGGACCTCGGCTTTAAATGGCTCGAACCCACTCATTGCTAGAAGAGTGTCCGTTGAACTTGAGTCGATCACGACCCTATCTTTGCCGACTAGATCACCGTTGATGTCAAGCCTTTTGTCTCCCACACTTATGCCTTCTAAGGTCAAATGGTATAACTTATCACCATGCACTGCAATTGGTGTTGAATAGCCTTCGATATAAGCTCCATCCATAGTGATTAACAGGTTATGATTATAGTAAGGATCGTTTATATTGCCAATGCAATAAGAAAACTTAGAACCCAATCGAAAAGGCAAAGAAGTAGTATCATCATAGCCGAGTCCCATAACTCCACTTGTTTTGCCGACTAAGATATTATTGGATTGTCCGCAGCCAAACACGATGCCGGGAACACTTGTTGTGCCTTCATCAGATGTCACGAATGTAAGCTTTTCGAAGGCAATGTGACCTTGTGTGGTAGTGTTGTCCAAGTATACCTTGCGATAAGTGCAACGAGATAAACTGTCACATAGTGCATCTGGATAGATGTAACAAAGATGAGTAGTGCACGGTAAGTCTTCATACGTGGTTGACTTTGAAGGATCATAAATGAGGCCTAACTGTTCGAAACATTCTGTGCATGGGAGGCATTGAACCCATGACAGGCTGCTGCCGGTGTCCATTACCACGAGTTGTGGAACTGGTGGCTCTCCGATAGAAAAATTTACAAGGAATACGCTGCCAGTGTCAATTGGAATAACACCACCTCGGACATCATTAGCGGTACGGTTGTTTAAAGCGTTTTCTATCCTTGCCTTTAGGTAAGTAAAGCGTGCCATTGAGCTTTCTGTTGCCCACCTAGCACGTTCTGAGGTGGTGGCACCAGGGTTGTAATATGGGGAGTGAATTGAATCACGGTTAATTAGTTTAGTGACCACCCTACGAGGTTTTGTGATGGCTGCATCATTGCTTGAGGAGACTACAATGATGGAGTACAAGAAAGAGTTTATTATGAAAAAGAAATGCATAAACATCTTTCCAACAAAATTATTCATACTCAACACTAAATGCAAATTAATTTCTTGATAATTTCCTAGCGGCTGCTGCTTCTTTTGCCCTTTTAGAAACTCCTTTACTATCTATATGTATGTATTAACAAGATGGGTATTCAAAATATATTTTTGCTCAAAAGTGGACCTTTTCTTTGATTTCAGATACTTCCTCCTCTTTTTAGCACATATGCAGGGCTTGTCATATTCAGATGTTTAGTTATCAACACATTCTTTTTCTTTTTACCTACAGTATGTTTTGAATCTATGACACAGTCTTTTCCTTCTTGACATTATATATCTTTTTTTTAATTTTGACCCACTTTCTAGCTAATCCAATATCAGCACATTTTTTGCTTAAATGTTGAAGAATATCGCTTCTTTAAAATATGTAACAGATCAAAGAGCATGTTCAAGGTCCACAGTACATGGATTGGAATAACACAGAAATATATATATATATATATATATATATATGATGTTAAAAGTGTTTTACTTCAAAGCTTGATCATCCTCTGCTCACTTCATTCTCAGAACCAATTCTAGACCCAGTTAGAGGGAAACTGAATTTGTTTTGCTGTCAATATATAGAAACCTTTAGATGGTTGATCCTCTACTTTGAATTTTTTCAGCAAAGCAACGTTCATCTGCGGCTTCCAATTTGAAATTTCATTTCTTTTTGTTTTGAGTTTCGGCTTGCATGTATGTATATATTATAGACCTCCAGTTTTCTATAAATAAAGAGAAGAATTGAATGTGTTGAATTTCGAAAATAATTTAGTGAGGTTCATAAATTTTAATCGACCTGAGTTTTCTTCAACTAAATTGGCCAACATGAATAATTGATCCCAACTATATAAATTTCACACTCCTTAAATTAATTAATTTCAGGTGATCATCATTCATCATAGACTACTATAGGAGTGCAGGGCCAAATTATATGATCCATATATGTGTAAACATCAAATCAATATGTTAGGATATTTTTAGTGCTAGATAAATGCATAAATTACACTAACACCCTCTTTATATTTGAATTAAATTTGATTTTGTGCATCAACTTTTCATGTACCCCTTAACAAATTCCCTAATGAAACAATTGAAGATGTAACTGTAATACTCAAAAGTGTAGCGGTGGGATGATATTAAAAAATAATAATAATAATAATAAGTAAGAGATAAAATTTTACTCATATATAAAATTATCTAAACATTTTGCATTATTACATGATGACAAAATATAGCGGAATGGTATCATGACTAATCGTAGTAGACTGTGCTACCTCCTCTCCAAAACGAGAGGAGAGGAAATTGGATGTGCTAAATTAATTAAATTATAATATTTATAGCCCACTCCTACCATCTTATTCTCCCTTCATTTTCTTTTTCATTTTTTATAAGAAAAATCTGTAATTATTTATTATTTCTCAATCTTCTACATTCTAGAATTTTCGTACTCATATATTTTCAGGTGTCATTTGTCTAGAGAAATCTATAAAGATTTTTTTCATTTTAAAAAAATTATCTTTAATTATTTATTATTTTTTCACATTATTATTATGAAAAAATATGTTTACAAAATATTTAGGACCTAAAATATGAGAAAACAATAAATAGTTATAGATTTTATTGATATGTGTACAAAATATTTAGAATATAGAATATTATAAAATAATAAATAATTGTAATCTTTTTAGAAAAATAAAAAGATCTAAGGAGATGAGAATTAGCTATAAATACCCTAAACGGATGCCCTAAGGAAAGCTGAAATATCCGATTTACTCTTCTATAAGTAATATTCTATTATGTTTGAAAAATAAATATTCTATTATCTTTGAGTAAATGAATGTTATTGTCAAATCTTAAAATTCAGTCTACTAGACTCTAAATAGATGTAAGATGTTGCCATCAAACCATAAAAAAAAATAATAATAAAATAAAATAAAATAAAATAAAAACAATATATGTACACTGCTACTCAAAATGTAGTTCTTACACTAAATTCCCCACAATCAACATTTTATAAAGGGTTGTAACTTATCCATGGCTCACGAATGGAAATGTCCCACTTTTAGATTCAGTTTGTTTTGATGTAAAAAATTTTTTTCAAAAAATATTTTTATTTTTTAAGTAAAATATTTTTTTTATTTGTCCTTTACAGTGTTTGGTAAAAGTTTAGCTCGAGATTGAGGTCGAGTCCTTCAAGCTTGACGTCTAAAATAATTTACCAAAAAACAGGACGTTTAAAATAATTTACCAAAAACTAATGGATAAATTATTTATGTAAATAAATTTTTCCTTCGTAAATATTTTACGACAATCAAATACCATAAAATAAAATAAACATCCAAACAAATAGAGCCTTAGTTATGCATATTAAACGACACATTAGTTAATTATGTTCCACAAATAAAAGGACTTGGATTCCCTCCACAGGAGGGAATCACATGATCGTGTGCCACATCTAGCAGCAACCTAAAATTAATTAAGATAACAGTTGTCCAGTCCTTAAATACAATATATTTTTTTTAAATACTAATATAATAATTCCCGTATTATTACTAAATCAGCCGCTACCTCTACATCAATTGCTTGAGCTTCATAATACTGATGTTCTGATGAAATTTCAGATTAACTAATATAGTTTGGCTGCCAATTAATACAAAGAATGACTTGTTTAAATTTTATTTGTTAATTGCGCCAAAAACTATGAGAGTTTAATAGTAAAAACTAGGAAAAAATAAAATAAAATAAAAAACTTACTAGTGTCGTTATAGTTCACAAAAGGCTCCAAGACTCATAAATATTAGTTTGGTTTAATTTACAACTTGCAGAAGAATTGGTAATTATTTTTGAAGTAATATATTGTATTTAAAGAAATGAGCAAATGTTGTCTTAATTAATTTTTGGTTGCTGCCAATTGTGGCTCAAAATGCTGACGTTTTGAGATTTTTCCTGTAATTCCCTCCACCGGAGGGGATCCAAGTTCTTGACAAAATTACCCTTACAAATTGCTCAATGTAGCATTTCTCATTGATTTACAAAAACAAAATATATCCTTGACGGATTATATTTTATGGAGTTTCTCTATTATTAATATTATGGACTAATCCAACGTAGATAAGTATTATACATAAGTTGACTTTATTATTATTATTTTTTTTAGCTTTTCTTTGGTAGATGATATTTCTGGAGCTTCTCTAAAAATAAAATAAAAAATATCCTTATAAACGGCAATTCTAATTGTAATCTCAAATTTTCAAATATATTGTAGATATTTTATGGAGTTTCTCTATTATTCATATAGTTTTGTATTTCAAGGGGAAAAAAAAAAAATCACAATCTTCTTGGTGAGCAGGGGTGGCAAAAATCCCCAATCATGTGGGGAACCGCCCCGCCCCCACCCCATTTAAAGCGGATTTGGAAAACCGTTTACTTAAATGGGGTGGGGATGGGGGTTAAAAAAAAAAAAAAAACTGACCGGTTACAGGGCGGGGGCGGGAGACTAAGATCCCTGCCCCATAACCACCCCGTTTAATATTTTAAATTATTAATTTATCCTACCATGTTAATATATTTACCAAATTAACCTTCACTCTCTCTCTCTCTATATATATATTGGAAACCCTACACTTACCACTTCCATATATATATGTGTGTGTGTGCGCGCGCGCGCGCTATGATTGTGTTTAAATAAAAATATAATCGGCTATGGGGCGGAGGCGGGGCAAATGGGGCGGGGGCGGTTATGGGGATTAGAGGTAAAAAATTAACCGGTTATGAGGCGGTTTTGGGGGCACCAAAATTAAACGAGGGCGGGGATGGGGAATGGGAAACCCGCCCCAAACCGCCCCATTGTCATCCCTATTGGTGAGTGACAAGCAAGATTTCATAGTTCAAGTGATTCAGCAATTCCAATTTCCTCGAGGCATTGTACATCGTGACCAAATCTACTTTTTGTGTGAATAAAATTCTCATAATAAATAATTAGTAAATTAAAATCTTATTAGACATATACAATTATATATATATTATATTCTATATAGAAATTAGTTCCTTTATTACTTTGCTTATATATATATCCACTAGTTTAATTTGTTATTCAAACTTTTTTTTTTGGTAAGTCAAAATTTATTCAAAAAAGAATAAACAATATAGGCTACCAAACAGCGGCCCAAAAGAAGCAACAAGAAAGAAGGCACTAAGGCCCAAACAAAGCCCGAATGCAACAACAAGCTCCACAAAAGGAAGAGGAACTACGAGAGGTAACACACAGAAAGCACAACACAAAGCATTGCTTAATCACCAACACTAGCACTGTCAATAACCAGACTAGGAAGTCTCCAATCAGCCGCCACAGTCCGAGAAATCCTAGTATCTTTGAATCTCAATGACAGAAGCCGGCCACGAATGCAATCCTCAATGAGCTTCCAAACAACATAAGGAACAGAGTACTTGCTTGCATAGGTACGTTTGTTCTTTTCCTTCCATATAAAGTAGATAGCCGCAGAGAAACAAAGTCTAGCAGTTACAGCATCCATAGAGTTACACTTATCATTCCAAACATTGTCAATCCATCTCGCAATGAAGGTCAGGCTACGTTCACCACAATAGAATCCATAAGTATGTTGAACATAGTTCCATATATAAGAGGAATAACTGCATTTAAAGAACAAATGCTCATGTGTTTCGTTTTCTCTTTGGCATAAGATGCATAGGTTAGAACCATCTCTATGATCTGTAGAGAACCTATCTTTAGTATAAAGCCTGTTGTGAAAACCAAATAATATTGGTCCAATTAGACAATGGAGCAGGAGGAAGAAGAGCATTGTACGTCTGTTTCAAACAGAATTTACCTGTAGTAGACAAGGATCATACCACCTTATCCCTACCATTATAATTGATTAGAGGAGGGTTCTCAACCAAGTTAGTTAAGTTTCTGAAAAGAGGAGGGAATCTCAATTGGCCATGTTTAATGAAACCCTTAACCTTGAAGTTAGCATCCCACATAAAATTGGATATAACATCATTTCCAACTCTCAAATTGATAGGACCAGTAGGTAGCCAATAGTCAAACCATAGGAAGGTTTCAGCTCCATCCCCCACCTGGTGCTTGATGAATTGCCTAGCTAGACCTCTCAGCTTAAGGAGCATTATCCAATTCCACGAACTTAGTTAATTAGCTTTGATGTTCCAAAAGTTTTTCTCCTCAATTAGGACACTATGAGCCCACTGATACTAAAGAGATTGGCCTCCATCATAGAACAAATTCCAGATATGCTGCAAGATAGCAATTCTATTTAAGGCAGCAAGATTAGGCAGCCCAAGCCCTCCATAGACCATAGGCTTGCATACAGCATACCAATTAACTTTAGCACCAGAGTTCTTCAGCTCCTTCCCAGTCCATAAAAACTTCATTAATACAGCATTCACCTTATTAGTAACCTGCATAGGAAGGATGAGTGTCTCCCCCAATAAGAATGAATCTACCAGAATAGGATAGAAATCTAAAAGTCCAACTAGATATTCTAGCAATGATCCTTTCCACAAGCACCTTGCAGTCAACAGTTAAGAGTCTTGAGGCAGTAATAGGGAGACCTAAATACCTGAATGGGAACTGGCCACCAACAAATCCAGAGCCATTAACCAAGGTATTTTGAGTTTCTTCATTCACTCCAGCAGTAAAGATGTTGCTTTTAGCCAAATTAGGCTTTAAACCAGAAAGCTTAGAGAACAAATCAAAACTCTTGATCAACACATCAAGAGAATAGGGGTCCCCATAGCAAAACAAAATGACATCATCAGCAAAACACAAATGGGAAATTTGGTTTGCTCTATATCTCCAATGGTAGGAGAATTGGGAACTCTCATAGATGGACTTAATGATAGTAGAAGATAACACATCCATAATAAGAACAAACAGGAGAGGGGAAATAGGGTCCCCTTGCCTTAAACCTTGAGCTCCTTTGAAAAAACCAATCATCTCACCATTGATAGCCACAGAGAAGGCAGTTGTGGTGACACATGCAATGATCCACTGGATAAACATATGAGGGAAGTTGAGGACTTTAAGACAATCCACCAAAAACTCCCAATAAAGAGTATCATAAGCTTTGTGGATATCAACCTTAAGGGTGCATCTTGGAGAAGAAAGCTGGCCTGTGTATCCCTTCATGAGTTCTTGAACAATAAACACTCCTTCACCAATTCTTCTATTTTTAATGAAAGCAGTTTGGTAATTATCAATAAGGTGAGGAAGAATAGGTTGAATTTTCTTAGCCAAAAGCTTGGATATAACCTTGTAGCTAGTGTTACAGTAGGAAATAGGTCTGAAATCCTACAAAGAAGTTTGATTGGGAACCTTTAGGACCAGAGCAAGATAAGTAGAGTTAATCTCCTTCAAAATTTTCCCATTAACAAAAAATTCTCTGATTGCCATCGCAATATCATTGCCCACCACGGGCCATGCTTTCTTAAAGAAACTGCATTAAACCCATCAGTTCCAGGGGATTTTTTGTCACTCAGCCCAAAAAAACAGCCCCTGATCTCTTCAAGAGATGGAATAGAAGTCCATGAATTAAGATACTCGTCAGGAACCACCTTACTATAAACTTCCTTTAAGGCTTGAATCCCTAGATAGCAGTGAGAAGAGCTTCCCAAAATACTCTAGAAATGCATCACAACCTCATCTTTAATAACTGAAGGCACCTCAGTGGACTCACCTGAGGCAAGCCTGAGCCTAGTAATCCTTAATTTGTTGCACCTAGCATTGAAAGTCTTCATAAAGTAGCTAGTGTTCTTATCGCCATCACTCAACCATTTAACCCTTGACTTTTGCATGAAAAATTGTTCCTCAGCTACAGACAAATCATGAAAACTTTGAAGAAGATTATTCTCCTTACTTCTGAGCTCCACATTAGCAGAATCACCATCAAGAGCAATCTGAATAACACTCAAAGCATCTTTAGTTTCAATAACCCTTTTGGAAATCTCACTGAACTCCTTCTTGTTTAAGGCTTTCAATTTGATCTTGAGCATCTTCAACTTACAAACCACCTGGAACATAATATTACCATGCACATTTTGCTCCCAAACCGAAGCCACAGTAGATAAAAAATCCTTATGATTGCCCAAAAAATTAAAAAATTTGAAAGGAATATTCTTTTTAGGAGGCACAATTTCTGAGTTAACAATCATTGGGGAATGATCAGATACCCCATGAGGCAAAAACTCACAGCTAGATAGAGGGAATTTGGATAACCAGCTGTCATTCACCAAAACTCTATCCAGTTTCCTAGAAATATTAGAATCTCCAGGGCTCATATTGGTCCAAGTGTAGAACATACCACTATACCTCAGTTCATGTAACTCAGCATAAAAAATACAGGTATTGAAGTCTATGATACCTGAATTCCAATTACCAGAACCACCTGCATTTTCATTGGGATGTTTAATAACATTGAAGTCTCCACAGAGGACCCATGGGGAGGGAGAGAAGCTCCTAGCTTGAGATTTAATGTCATTTCACAGGGAGATCTTTTGCACAGCAGTGTTAAAAGCATAAATAATAGACACAAAAAAATGAGTGTGATCCTCAATAGTGGTTACACTACAGTGAATAGCTTGTGCATTAGAAGAAAGCTTCTGAACTTTAAGTTTGATAGGGTCATACAAGATTAAGATCCTACCAAGACTATAGGAGGGGTAGTTGTGTAGAAGCTGCCAAGAAGGGGCAATAAATTTATGGATATCATTAACATTAGGTTCTTGGACCTTAGTTTCCAAGATAGCCACAAAATGGAAGTTGGAAGAAGCAATAAGCTGTTTTATTTTCCTTTTTTTTTCAGGGGAATTAAGACCCCTGATATTCCAAGCTGCAAAAATCATTAAGACAGGGTTTGAAGAATTACCCCTGGAAAACCTGACACAGGTACAATAGGGCATTCACCTCCCTTCTTCTTTTTCTTTATTTGAGTTTTCTGCTTTGTGACCTCAGGGTCCTCCTTGTCCTTACATTGGTTTGAACTAGATGAGCATGTGGAGCTAGAGCAGCTAGGTAAAACAACATGTGTCCCCTCTCCCACATGGTTAGCCTTAGGCATCTCTGGCAACTCTCCATCAGTCTTCAATTCAACAGCAGGAATAACCTCCTCTTGGTTTGGAACCTCTGAACTTTTCATCTCCTTGGTGCTCACTTCCAGCTCAATAACATTCTTAGACACAACTTATAAAGTCTCCACCCTATTTGACATCAGCAGTATCATCCCCAGCAACATCAGTAATGTGGTCCTCATGGCTAACATTTATTACTTCAATTGGTTGAGAACTCCTTTGCACTGCTTTCCATTCCTTTCCTTGATTAGCATTCTCTATAGCTATTCTACTTATGGTTTGTTTGGTAGGGCATACATTACTAAGGTGCCCAAAACAACAACAAGATGAACAGACCATAGGCTTCCACTGATATTCAGCCTTAATGTCAAACACAATTCCATTAGTTGCCTTCAGTTGGAAAGATTCAACAAAGGGTTTAGTGGCATCCACTTCCACACACAGTCTAGCATAACTGAGTCTTGCTTTGCTTTCAGTAAGCCTATCAGCAAATAAAGGTTTTCCCACAGCACTTATCACATGACTGAAACCCTTAGCTGCCCAATACTCATAGGGAATATTATAAAATTTGATCCAAAGGGGAATGGATCTACATGATTCTTTACTCATTTCCATACCTTTGTGCCATTTTTTAAGGAATAATGGTTTCCCCATCACCATACATGGTCCATTAGCTAAAATATTATTACACTCAGCTTCAGTGGAGAACTTAAATATAAAGAACCCTTTTATCATCAGCCATAACTTCTTCCAACCCTTCATTACTTCACATCTTTGTAACTGCATCCTTGATAATGGAAAAAGGCAATTTCTTTTGGATAAAATATCCAACAAGACAGGTCATCCACTCCTCAACTCCTTCCTCTGTAACTTCTTCAGGAGGTTCAATAAGGATGCGGTCCCTATTGGGTGGAAGAGGTGGGATGAATTCAAATTCCATCTTGGGAGAGTTGGCCTTTGGTCCAGCAGCAATCTCAGCCCAGCTAGGCTGTCTAGGAGCGACTTGGCCAGCTTCTAAAACCATACTCTTGTCATTTTCCAAAGAGCAATTAGCAGGTTTGACCTTACCATTTTGGTGTAAGGGGTTTGTGTATTGATTGGTAGGTGTATCAGTGGTAGCAGCCCTGTGGTTGGTACCAGTCTTGGACTTTGGTTGACCAGTGTAATGCCCAATCTCCTTAGGCGCGTGACTTGGTTCACCATGGTGGTAGCTGTTGTACCCAATTGTGGATCCTCCTCTACCTCTATTAGAACCTCCTCTGAATCTACCTTTACCCCTCGGGTAAGTAGTATGCTGAGTAGGTCCTTCCTTGGGCTGGTTATTAGCCACATGCCCTTCATCAACCATCTTTCCTTTTTGAAGCTTCAGAAGAGATGACTCTAGATTAGAAATCTTCTCTCTGGCTTTTTCAAGTTCCTTCCTTGCATCAACAAGGTATCTTGATAGGGCCTCAGAAATCACTTGCTTAGCTAAAGCAATGTTCCTTCTGTCATCAATAATCAGTGGTTCCATACCATCAATAGTGGTTGAACCATCCATCTCAAGGCTACTACCAGCTTTTACAATAGGTGTAGGGTTTTGGTCATGGTTATTGGGTTGGTCACATAACAGGTTGGGGGAAGGTTGGACAGGTGGGGAGATAGCAGGAGAAGGATCATCCATGGTTTAATGAGCAAAATCATGGTGAAAGGTTGGGGAAGAAAAGGAAAAGAAAGGGAGTTGTTATTCAAACTTGGTCGGCTTAGTTGTGATTTTTTTTTTTTCCTAAAATATATATGAAACAAAATTACATGAATACTCGTAATAAGGAAATTGAATTATATATATATATATATATATATAATTCAATTTCCTTATTACGAGTATTCATGTAATTTTGTTTCATCTACATTAACAAAAGAGGGTAAGTTGCAACAAGTTAGTAAAATAGAGGTTGTTTGTTACCCAAAAAAAAAAAAAAAGATTTCGTAGTATTGTGCAACTTTTTGAAATTAGAGGGAGATTTAATGCACCAAGGCCAAGTTTAGAAATTTTAATTTCATTATAAAGCAAGCTAAAATTAAAATTAAAAGTGCTTTGAATGGTTATTAATAATAACAAAATTTAAAATCAAAATTTTAAAACTTGTCACCTTTTGTAACAAAGGAACATAATGGCCTCCAATACTTGAAATCGCTTTTATAGATTTACACAAAATATATATAGTTTTTTTTTTTTTTTTCTTAAATCCCATAATTTTGTATAGGTTTTGTCATTTTTGAAAATATATATATATATATTAGAGATTGGTCATATTTTTATATAGTTCAATAATTCGTTGACTTGAGAAAAAAATTAAAAAATAATTTGTTGACTTTATTTTTGCCAAAGTCTTCTGGCCTTAGCTAATAAGATACCTCCTACTAGCTCTTGGAATGCATGGGTTCCAACAGGGGAGACTTAACATCAACGAACCTCCTAACATGTCAGTTGCTTAAACTTTCAAAAAAAACAAAAACAAAATTCAAAACTAACCCTAATTTGTTTCCACCAAACTACCTTAGAGAAGATGACCAGAACCCTAACCCCTCTCTCTCTCCCTCTCCACGCCCCCATTGCTGTTTATCACGAGTACATGAAGTAAAGAAATTGTCAATTATTTACTTCAAACATTCATGATATATTTGGTGATTGTTTTTTCAATTAATTCTTTGACTTTAGGGAAGACAAAATAAATTTGGGTTTTTTTTTTTACTTGGCCGGTGACCAAGAGATCTTAACAGTGGTAATTTCTTTTTTCTTTTTTCATTTTTTTTTACTTTTTTTCTTTTTTGGGAATAAGATATATATAGCTAAATCAAGGATTGAGAAGGGAAACAAGGGGTTGTTATTGTGTTGTTAAATAGGATTGTGCAGTGGAACAAAGATTTCGACTTTAAAAAAATAATAAGAAGAAGAAGTTATCCATTGATTCATTGAAATTTATGAACAATATTCATAATAAAATTAACTTTACATGTGGAAGTGGAAGTGGAAGGCAAAAGTTCTCCATATTTTTCTCACAATTCAATCAGATAGCGGTGGAAATAGGAAGAGAAGAAAGAGATGATATCTTGTGAAAAACAAAAATATCAAAGAAAATAGGAAGCAAAAAAAGAGATGACGGCTAAGTATTTGATTAAGGTAATTTTAGCAAGGGGTAGTTTTGAAATTTTATATAAAAAAAAATATTCTTTAAGTTGTTTAGAGCTTGGAATTTTAAAAAAAAAAGGTTTTTTTTTTTTATTTTATTAACAGAGGTGTCAAAAAATTACTATTAGTAAAAAGAATTTAGGTGTTTGGTGACACATTATAATAAAGAAATAAAAAGAACAAAATTTTCTAACTCAAAATTCTAGCTTAATTCAAAAATCCTACTAATAATTTTTCAAAATAAAAGTGTTTTTAAGCAATAGAGAAACAATTCCAAACGCGTATGATGACTAACAAAAAATCTAAAAATAGAACCAATCTCTAATGTTTTTTGAAAAAGAGACCAATGTCAAATCCTAAACAAAATTATGAGACTTAAAAGTTCCAAACAAATCGGGTTCACCTTAACCCTAAACTAGTTACTGCTAGATTCAGAATGCCAAACTAAGCCAGGACCGAACACAAAAATTCGGCCAGCTCCAATGATAGAGTCAATGGATGGCTCCATTAACCATTAGTTGAACTTAGGGGTGGCAAATGGGCGTGTTGTGTTGGATTTGGGTTGGGTTGAAAATGGGTGGGTCAAAATGGGTCAAGACTCATATTTAATTCGTTCAAAACGGGTTGAAAATGGGCAGGGTTAACCCGTTATGACCCGTGATCCCATTAATTTTTTTTTAATTTTTAATTTTTTTTATACTTTCAGTAACAATTGTAATTGGCAAATGACAAGGGAGTATATGCATATTTTTGGAATAGTTTAAGAGAGTTTTGTGCAAAAATAAAAATTCAAGAGAATTTATTACAAAATTGCCATTTTTTTTTTGGTAAATAAAACAAAATTGCTAAAGTTGAGGAATTTTTTTTTACAGTTTACCCCAAGAAAAACTAGGTTGAATAAGTGAGATTCAATTGTCCCAAATTAAATGCTCGAGAGACTTGGATGTCTAACGGTTTGGTGAAGTCTTGGAGTAAGAAAACTTGAAATTCAGTGAAGTCGTCGGAATGAAATGTTCAAAGCACAAAGCACAAGCACTGGAATATTATATTTACACAAAGATGGATGCATATTAAGTAAGCATATTCTCCTTCGCATCACCTGAATGGAAATTGCATGGCGCCACTTGACCAGTTCTCTATAATTAGTTATCTACGACTAATTAATTGTACACAGCAATTAATTCAACTTATACGTTTTGGATTCTTTTGCTGACTTTTCGTCCTACTATAATTTTAATAATAATTCATTACAGTGCGCACATATATATATATATATGCCGGTCCAACATGATCAATTACACCTGAATCCAACTATATATTTATATATATGTGTGCCGGCCCAACGTAAAACATATTAAGGAAGTATAATTTTATATGTTTTGGCGCCATTGTGCTTGATATATTACAAAAATAAAAATAATAATAAATAATAATAAAAATTAATTAATTTTTTAATTTTTAATTTTTAATTTTTAAAATTATTTTAAAATTATTTTTTAGTTATTTATTTTTTTTATAAAAAATTTCTAGAGAGAGAAACTTATAGAAAGGAGATTAATGAAAGACAAATTTAAAGAGAGGATTATGAGTGAGAGAAATTTAGAGAGAGAAATGAATTGAGTGCAATATAGAATAGACGTGTGTTTATATGTGATTGGTGAAATATGAATTGAATATGGTTAACCATATTCAACCCATCTTGACTCTTAAATTAAGTGATTAAAAATTACCCAACTCATCTCGACCCTCAAATTAAATATTATTCACCCATAACCATTAAAAGACGGACAAATATGGACTGGTTGATAATTCCTGACCCATTTTGCTACCCCTAGTTGAATTTAAGAACCAATCAATATGTTATTGTAGATGCGGTAGAAATGTATAAAAGAGTTGTTTGGCATCTGATTTAAATTTCTTGTTGGTTTGTCTCACTTATTATGATCCATTTTTTTTATAACCTTTTCTTCTTTCTGGGACTACTTATTCACTTTAAAATATTATTTTCTGGAATTAGGTCTTATATTTTGGCCAATTGAGGGACACACCATTGCCCGTGACTACACAACTTTTGCAACTACATATTTTCAGCTTTCACAAAATAAGTCCCCAAAATTTCTGTTCCATAACTAGAATATAACCAAAAATAAGCCCAGATTGGAGGGGAAAGATAAAATACTACATCACCCATCCCCAAGGAAGGAACTTTTGCAACAGCTTCGACTCAAATCACCCTAACTGCTCTGCCAGTTGCCCTTGCACTCAAAAAGAAGCCAGGACGGGGAGCATTCAATCCTTCTACAATGAGGTGCTTTACAACACTGTAAACTACATGAGAATTGAAGAAGAAGGGGGCCGAGAGCAACTGCTGATCCGACCAAAGAATTAGAATCAATGATATCCACTCAAATTGTTGTATAATTGGGAAAAAGAAGCATCAGATTATCTAAAGTTTCCGGTAAGAATTTCCTTCCAAATAAGTAACATGGTCGTCTGATTCCGTTCCATAAGCAAGATCTAATCTGTATTTCATTCTGCAGCACATGAGATACGATTATTTTCAGAATTTTTCTGCTCTTAACCAATTTTGGAGGCAAGAATTTTCAATTTTAGTATTTACATACCCTTTCATCACTTGTAGCATGCACGCTCTCATAAATAGACTGCAAAAAAAACACAATAGATGTTTACAACCCATTTCCGAGAGGCCAAAAACATAGCCAAGAAAACTCTAGCTCTATAACAAGGACACAGGCAATTGCTCTGCTAGTGTCCATCATGGCTGCTCTCTCCCATGTCCCTTCTGATTCTAGAGTCATTATGCTACACTGTTGTAAAGAGGGGGTGCTTCAGTCATTTCAATTTAAACAAAGAGTTGATTCATTGAATAGACATGCATTTTGGGGAAAATGCGAGTGTCCTAAGATGAGGGCGGCAGAGAGTATAATGCCCAGATGAATTTGGTAGGCCTCCACCAGAATGAGCTGAACCTTATCATGACTTCCGGAAGTACCAAGAAATATAGCAACGTGACACGCCAAAAACAAGCACTTTTGTGTGTATGTGTGTGTGAGAGAGAGAGAGAGACATACTGTAATATTTTTCATGAGCTCATTAGTAACATCCTGAGCCCTATATGATTTTGGATGCCACTTCCTTTCAGACCAATCAACATGCGTTATTGACCAGTTTGCAATTCCAGCAGGGTCAAACATCTTTAAAATGAACAGAAAATTGGTTCAGTAAAGCAGAGTTGAACATGAAGTATTTGGCAATGGAAAAAAGCATAAAAAATTAAATGTTCGCACTTGAAAAAATGTTGGCAGATAATGCTCATCAGAATAGCAATTGATTCGCCCATCCATACCTGGCTGCAAAAGGAAAAAAAAAATGTTGTGGTCAATACAATGGTGCTACGAACCACGTTTACAAGTTCCATATTTTCCAAAAGTCCAAATCATATGACGATAGAACAACCTTTTTATGTTGGATATATGGCATAATACAAGAATATTATGATAAATGCAGAAGATCCTCACAAGGTTTTAACTGATGGATTCAGCTGAACCTAATTAATCAAGTCCAAAACCTAGTATGAGAAAGTTAGATTTTTATATATGATTGTGAAAAGAGGGACAGCAATTTAATATATTCCTCACATAATAGTATACAATATTATTTTCTAATATTACCAACTTAATGCATGGAGATGTATTATTGTTTCGAGATTGCAAAAGCAAGCGTGCACTTCACTTTGCAAAAAGACAGATTTAATAACATCAGAGAACAGTCTAGTTAATATCATTCAAAAGAACATTGCCATGATGTTGGACAAGCCTTACCCGTTTATATCTGCAATTGAAGAAAATAGACCGATAACAAACCAAATGTTTCAGATGGACCGTTTTTATTTTGGGGAATCCATTTGACACAATTATTAATGCAATTGAAGATTAAAAATGATTCAATGCATCACAAAATTAAACATGGAGAAAGCAAAACAAAAACCAAAAATAAAAATGAAACTCTGTAGTCTAATATAAACTAGCTAATGATGATCAAAACACAATCTTTGATGGCAGGTTCTTTTATATCTATAAGAAAGTTTGCCCATTGAAGTTGTATTGTAGCTTGGAAGATTGAAATAAAATAAAATAAAGGAAATAGGAGCAACAGCTCTGTTGGAACAAACACGGAAGGAAAAAAGTGAGCATAAGACACGGCTATGCCATGTCCAATACTGTATATACACACACCCAAGCACAAATATAAATGTACGTAATTTTTGCATTTTTAAATAACTATTGTGGCTTTATGATGTTCTTCTCGATGCGTGAGTTCTGTCTAATCCATATCCCCATGGACTGAGTTCTGTCGATTTCAACCCCCCTTCTCTAATACATGGGCTGGGTTATTGATGGAAAGATATGAACTCACAAAACATAGACATTTAGTCAAATTTTCAACCTGAGATGATTGTCAAACAAATACAGATAAGAGGATAATATTCATAAAAAAAAACAAGTCGAAAAATCTTAACAGAAACTTAAAACCTGAAAAACCCTCCTCCTTTATCCGGGCTTGGGACCGGCAGTGTTATTTCAACGCTGGCGGAGTTTTCTTAACCTACCCATAACCAGATGTGTGAGCTCAAGCACACAAAACACATGCAAAAAGTAGCTGAAATTCTAGTGAATGGAATTATGGCATCTATTAACTATCACAAGGAATATAAAGAGTGTCTGTTTTGGGATACTCTTTACTTATTGGAGTTTCATCAGCTAATGAAGAAAATTTGCCATTGTTCATATGCTGTAACCCTGAAGAGGACAGGTCGCAAGGCTACAGCCTTCGGTCCATCAATAATGGTGCGTTTCTGTTCAAGGTTTCTTCCCATTTCGCATATATTTTTTCAGATAATAGAAAAGTGGAAATTTCGACTCAAAGGAAGTAATGGAAATTTGATGACGATAATTAGATCATAAATGCATGATCTTTCCGCTTGGGATCTATCAAAAAAATATAACCGCAAACTTGAAACTCCAAACATTTTCCAGAAGGAACAAGTACAAGAAAGTTATGGCTATAAAAATAATGCCTGGTGTATGGACTTCTCTAACATCTATATGCCATTATATATATTTATATACATATATATACCCAAACCTTCAATGCAAGTCTCAAATTGTGTTTGTGTGAGGGGGAGAGAAATATGTTCTTAATCCTCTAACATGCTCCCCCTGTCCCAAAATTCTTGGGGTGTCTGGGGAATCCAACTTTTTAAGGTAGTGGGTTTTTAATACTTTTTTATTGTATTGATAAGAGTAATTTCCAAATTTATCCTTGTTAAAAGACAAAGGAGTACTCCGTAATTACTAATTAGTGCACTAGTTTAATTAAATCAATGTCAAAAGGATAGTTTGGGAATGTTATAAAAAATAGTACATTCATTTTTGGAATGGGACATGTGTGACATCCCAAAATTCATTTCTGAATTTTCGGACAGAGTATATATACTATATTATTTTTTATTTACAGTAACACACTTTTTCTATACAGAAAGGCTAACAACAAACCATCATGAGGCATGCTGAACACATCGTCAGGAGTTTTAGGGAATTATCGAACATGTTCATGATTATATAAATTTGTTTTAAATACCAAATATGTCCAAATGTGTTCAAGACATGTCCAAGAGTGTCTTAATAAAAAACTGTCAGGCACACATGCATATGATTTTGACAATTTAAAAAATAAAAAATATATTTTTTTTTTTTAAATATTTATATCGAATATGTTTCATGGCATTCAACATCCTCGAGCTGTAGAACATGATTTATGCAGCTAACTCCAAATTTCATACAAGTCAATGACAACGAACACGATTTATGCAGCCAACTACAAATTTGATACACGTCAATGACAACAAACAAGATTTATGCACCCAACCCCAAGACTAAGATAAGCCAATGACAACGATATGAGGAAATGATAAAATATGCTTTGCTGTGTTGCATTTCATATTTTTAATGGACAACTTGCATTTTAAGCCCACCATCTTGGATAGAAAGTAATCTCTCCTAAACTGAACGCAGCAAAAATAAATTAATCAATCATTCAATTGGGGGGGAGGGAAGAGAATATCACCCCCAAGCATTAGAGCTATTGAATCAGATAAAGTGAATATATTTCACTTGGCACCACTTTATTAGTTTGAGCACAGACATAAATCATGATTCATTATTTATGATCAAGGGGGTAACTTCACCTAGTGGAATTGGCCAATAGCAAGATTGTCTATGTACAATATTACCTGTTTAATAATAATTCCATGTAAATTATTTTTATCAAGATACTAGATGAGATTAATCCCTTTTTACACTTGCAGTCCATCTCATGTCGCAGCTACTTTTGCATTTACGCTTAAAGAGAAACTGCTGTTCCTCTACAAGCTAAATACTACTGTTCTAAGAAGTACCAACAGAGAGATAGGTAGAGCAATATAACCTATATAGATCTCAAAAATAAGACAAACATATTTCACAAAGTAGAAATTAAACTGTTCTGCCAAGATGAAATAATAAATCAATGGAAGCAAAAGGGTATTAACTGCATTGGCTATAACTCACAAAACCTATTAAAAAAGAGAGAAGTATCAATAAGAAAAAATTTTGAAATTCACAGAAGAAACTGTTCCTAAAGATATTAGAAACAACAATTGCATGCCATATATCAAAACTTCAAATCATAAACAAATGTATTAAAAATCAACTCATATTCAGGAACAGAATCACCTTGCAGTAATCCCGAAATTTTGAGTAGTACAGATTGTCGGCCATTACGATCAAAGCATGCTTCCGCTTCATTGTGAACCACTGTAGAAATTCAAAACAAAAACTATTAGGACTTCGCGTCATTGTTTGGCTCTTTCAGTCAGAAGCCTAATTGAGTTGGCATTTTTAGTTTGAGTCTTGAATTGTTGAAAGCATGGACCGTGCTACATTCAGAAAATCATTAATTCATGAACAACTAATTGGACATACACTTTTAGAACAAGGTAAATGAGTGAGGCGAACACATTCGAATTTGATAGCATGTCTTATTTGTTCAACATGTTTTTTGAAAAATAAGTACGTTGATTTTTGGCTTAATTTTGCTCAAGTTACAAAAGACAACAAGTTTTTCCCTGTTACAAGGTGTTTGCATTGCTATAAAACTAGGTAGAGAGTTATTTGCCCATACATGTTTATCCAGCGGTACATAACTACACAGTGAGTTATGCACAGTACAGTGTATTTCCAATGGTGGCTATCTTGGCAGACATATCACTGGTCGCTGCATAATGTCCAGACATGAAAAATTTACAGCTTTTAATTATCAAAACACGTTCTATTTGTTTTCAAACTTAATAAAAAGTTTCTAAATAAATTTTATAATTTTCTTAGACTTAAATATTGGACTCTTTATAAACAACCTCCTAGGGTTTCTAGAAGATAGAGAAGAGATTTAGCAACTTCATGGATTGGTGTTGCAATTTTTTACAAAATCGGAAATTTCAAGCTTACTTTGCATACACATTATAAATGTTTGTCTGCAAGATTTTTGTTTTTCATATATAACACTTGAGAGAGTTTGTGCGTGATTTGCTCATGCCAGTGATTTCCTGCTAAACCAGATCATCGAAAAATATCAAGCAGCAGAAACTCGTAACCACTACACAATAGCTTCATGGAGAAGTTGGATTCACTAACTCGTGAAGAGGACAGATCAAGGGTTTGATTGTGTGGAGTACAACAACTAAGCTCATAAGAGTCAAGCACGAGTTTGAGGCCAGGCTGGCCTTGTGAGAACCAAACATGAGACTGTGATGCACATGGCCCCATTGAGCATGAGCTAGTTTTGTTAGGGTTTTTGGATTGTAATCTTTTCTTCACATAGTGGATTTATTTGAATTGAATTGCTCGTAACAAGGTCCGCAATTTTTTTCCAATTCAGGTTTTTCCAGAGCAAATTACTCTTTATTTTGTGTTGATTGTGTACTGGTTTGATTGATTGGATTTAAAACTTAGATGAAAACTAAAGTTGAGGATACTGAAATTGACATATCTAAACCAATACCCATTTCCCCCACCCCTCTTTACTACCACCACCACCAAAAGAACCAAGGAAAAAAAAAAAAAAAAAAAAAAAAAAAACTAAACTAAACTAAAAAAGTCGAAAAGATTTTACAGCGGATTGCAACAATGCATCACCTCATTGACATATAGTTGACAAAGGGACTCATATTTATAACCCCTTGAATTTTAGGGCTTAAATGTCATAATAGTTTGCACACAGATCTACTGCAGGTAGTTTATGTTTATATGGCCCTTCTCCAATATAAACACATTAAAATTTATACAGATTGATAAAACCATGGCTTCCACATTAAATGTGTGTAAGTATACCTGTGAGCCCTTCCGGAAGTCTTTCTTCTCAACTTCAGGTAACATATGCTCTGTATACCTGCCATTTCCATGCGGACCAGGATCCACAAAGCTAGAACAAACATAAAAAGTGCATCAGTAAGAGAGAATAAAACACATATAAAGCAATTTTGCAATATAATAAATTATAATATTTGACAACCCCTATTTAGTAAGCAAATAAAAGCAGCAAATGCTTCAAAATAGTTTCATATTTATAATGTAGTTAAACAATGTATGGTAATTGGAAATTGCTCATCTAAAGAGCTATATACAAGAGAAGTGGTTCCCAATATGTGGAAACATTGTGCAAACCTGTCGATGAAGCTGATATTTGTGTACATCAAATAGTTGTATACAAAGTCAAAATTGCGCAGTGGAATACAACTGCAATGCAAGAAAACAATTCATCGGAAATAGATAAGAGTTAAAGATCATAATTTAGCAGAAAAAATATAATTACAGTAACTTTTTCATGTAATCACCTATCAGAAAGTAAAACAAAATGCTGGTTATCAGGGTCTTTCAGTGCATTTGCCAAAAGTCGTCTCTCTGCATCAACCATTGAAATTTTTCCCCACACTACCTGCACAGAAAATCAATGTAACAATTATATTATTTAGCTTGTACAACGATGATGGTGATAATGTAATGATGATGATGACGACAACAACCTAATCATTTCAATTCCAAACTGATTAAAGAAAGTATGACAACAATGCCTTCCTGATTCTTTTGAAATCCATTATTTTGATCATACATACAGATGTATTCAAAGAACATATATACACAGACCAGGATAGTTTTTTTGCATATGTGCCAACAGGGAAATTCATTTTTTCTATATATCTCCATCATCTTAAATTAAACACAACCGTTTGGTCAATGAATATATGCATTATTTACAAAAATCCAGGCAATTAGGGATATTGCTTAGTGAAATAGTAATAGTAAGAGCCTTGTTGTCAAGGTAAGAATCTTAATTTGAGAACGATAAAAACCCCATTCATGCAAATAGAGTCAAGGTAAGTTCTGTACAAATACATCCTAATATGGCCATAATGTATAAATAGAATTCATAAATGTGGGCACTTAACCACATAGATATAATGTTTACACTTCATAGATGTACACACACAAATAAAAAGTAAATAAAAAAAATTATCTGTAGGTATGCACTCGATCGTTTTAGAGACCATCCAGGCTCTAAAACACTACTTCAAAGTCAAACTTTTACTTCATTCGGCTGCTTGGTACCCAGGTCCATACAATTCTAGGTGTGTCGATAGAGGTACTTTTCTTTTCCCTTTGAACATTTTTTTCGATCAATACTTTCCCAATCACATAGGTTTTATACTTCCAATTAAGGAGAATCTCCGCTTAGTAACTGAAGACTTCAACATAGACATCTCCCTTTCAATCCCTTGAATCCAACATTCCAACACACAACTTCATCGAGCCCTTGAACTTAGAAATTTAATACCAAAGGAACAAATATAAGTATTGAATTATGCCATTTATCAATAGGTTTTCTTTTTATTACCATTTATTTAATTGTTCAATTTTCCACTGCAAACACAACAGCCAATGGAGTAATCAATGATATATATATATGTGTCTCTGTGTGTGTGTGTGTGTTTAATTATTCCATTTAATTATTTATATATGTTTTCTACTGATCACGCTACTATTACAAGGACTTGCATATTTCCAATATTGAACAGAAATGCAAATAAAGAAAGGAATACAAGGAAATATACTATAAACAAAAAATATATACAATTCAAAATATAAACATATAGGTAAAAATGAACACAACAGAGCCTAACCCCATCAGGTAATAAAACTGTAAATTTACTTGGGACTTGGGAGAGACAAATTTGGAGTATTAAAAAAAAATATTGACATTAAGTTTACAAACCTTGTCACTGCGAATGTCACTATTCATGAAGTGACGGCTCGAATGTACTGGCCTTTCATTAGATGCATGCACATAGACAGAGAATCTGCCATCATGCCCCTGAAAATATAATTAAAACTTCAGTTGGCATACAAATTGAACTGAAACAACACAAAAACTGCTTTCACCTAAAAATGAAATGGTTTGGAAGCAAAATGAAATAACACGAACAATTAATACAGTGTTTTCTCTTTTACTAATGTACTACATCTTAATCTACTTGGGATAAATAATCTACACATAGTAGCCATTGGTATCAAACTCACATCCGCATTTTTGCTACAGATGCATTTTGGAATTCAGTGTTTTTTCATTCATAAGGTACACAAGTTTTCTTGCAGATTCCAATGAACCAATTCCTACAAGTAAAACAGCTAGAAGACCAAAAGAAAGAAGTGGCGCTTTCAATTTCAGAAACGCCACATCATATCTGCCAACATACAGCGATTTGGAAGCTCATGCTATAAATACTCCCTCATACCATGTAAGTATAGAACTCCTTTCATTAGTTATAAACCTTTTCCTATTGCATTTTACTCTCCAATCTTTTCTCCTAAACCCTTCAAAAATCCTATCTCTCACCATGATCTACATTATTAAGACCAAAAACACTAACATCCAATAATTATATATCAAATTGATCACTACAAGGAATTTTTATGGATGAATTATATAAATAAAAGTACAAAATGATTTTATAGTCTCTAATAGTCTGAGAAGAATGAATACAGATGTGGGAGATGGACACAACAGAAAACGGATACGCCGCCAAGTCATTATTAAGACCAAAGTATGACACGGGCACGGACATTTCACATTAAGGATATAACAATAAAATATGTAATTTTGTATGAAAAATATATTATATACTACAAATATGTATTTTATGATAACAACATTAAATTTATGGCCAATGATCCTTTAATTATGATCAAATATGTCAAGGAAAAGATAACAAGGGCAAGAGATATATCTAATGTTCAAGGTGGTCGAGATGTCAACACATGCCCAAGAAGTGTCAGCCATGTGTGCGAAATTAATAATTTTATTCTAAAATTAAGCACACGTCTAATATGTGTTGAACATGTGTAGAACACAAACACAGACCCTCATTGGAAGTGTTCATGCTTCTTAGCTGTCAGTTTGGTTATTTAAGTATAGACTCTTTTTTGTCCATTGATATGGTCTGATGAGTAGGTGCAATATAAGAGTAACTTCCTCCTAGTTTATGCTTTTATTAATTGTTTTTAGCTTTGATACGGTTTGATGAGTAGTTTGGTTATTCTCCCCGGTCATTCGTAAACCGATGCAAGGCTACTTTTCTCTTCTATTTTGGAATGTGGTCAGGTAGGTGTACATAACCCTTTATGCCTACCCCTCAAAGCATGCTTTTATAACATTAACATATCCACCTCCCACTTAATGTTTTCCAATCAGAAGAAAAGCCAACAATATAAAAGTTAAATATCCTTAGAGTTAGTCCATTCATTTAAACCTAAGACATGTCAAAACCCTGTGTTATATTCGGTTTATAACCATAGTTTTCAACACAACAGTCTCAAAATTGCATCAAATATGAGACAACAAATTCTGCCAATTGCAGTGCATCCACGCTCTTCGTAGAACCTTGCTTTCTGGTCTTTTAAAGCTTTCCAATGATAACAATTACATAGTTCCAAATTTCTTTTAAGTAGGTTCCACATCATAAATTATGTTATAAGGGCACTTCAGAACATTTTTTGTACACTCAATCAATCAAGTTAATCAACCATATTACTTTATACAAGAATCCACCATTGTAAGAGACCATAAAGTGAGGCAACATGAAGTCACAATTTCTATGTATAACTTAATTACGCATTAATGCATGCAAAGGTTGACAAAATTTAAATATCTATAAAAGTTATGCAAATTTAGCAAATAGTTAGTGTAAAAAAAGATTTAGCAAAAAAAAACAAAAAGTAAGAAAAAATGAAATAACATTAATATTAGGAAAGAACTCTTACATGAAAAAACTTATCCCATAGCTTCTCAAAAGGTAAAGTACCCTGGCTCAGGAACATGAAAGCAATTTTAGGGTTCTTTGATTCAATTGTCGGTGTATTCAAAATATCCCTAATTACGACACGAGAAGCAATTTCTTCATCAGTATGTTCCCTTGTAGGAGCAGGTGGAAGCCAATTGGAAAAAGCCTTGCAACCATTGGAAGAGAACACATAACAGGCAGCAGAATTCTGGGGTGGATAAATATAAGCGCAAATTAAGAAGATGCTGACCAATGAAACCAATATGATTATCCACGTTGGCTTCTTTAAATGAGAGCGTTGGCGGGGCGCATGCAAGATCTGCATGTCTTTCATGCGTAGACGCCAAGCCTGAGCTGTCTTCATCTTGAATTTAATGCATCACTTAGTCTGAAAACAACTCACTCCCTTTTCATAATTTCCCTCCAGAACACTTCTTTCTAAGATATCAATACCTAAGAGACTACCACCAGCCTCCAATTGACAGATTGAGGAAGAACCTGAATCCATAAAGCAGAGACACATTTATCAGCAGGGTGTAAATTATAAGAAATAAATCAATTCCAATAGTTTTATTATGCAATATTAAAGAGTATCCTACACTTGATAATCTACAAAGAGAGAGATAGGAAGGAGTTATTCAATTCTAAGAAAATATTGCCAAATTTAGCCAGCAAAAAAACTGAGAAATGGGCGAGAATCAAAATTCATTCAATGAAGTAAAATGATTCCACAAGTCACTCCAAAAGAGCAAAGTTCGAAATCTGCTCCATCGTAAAATAGCTGAGCACTGAAAACTGCATAATTGATGAGGACGGGCAACAAATGCAACACTTTGAAGTGCCCATGGTACTTCCATGACACTGCATAGAATCACACTATCCAACAATGGATCTAAACATAAACTGAATTATAGCACCAAGACTCGCATTGCAAACATCAGGACATTGTATTTGGAGCTGGAGGCCCCAATTCGAATTCCATTGTTTCTTTGTGTTATGCCATTCAATTTAGAGATGAAATAATATTCAATAAACAACAAGAGAAAAAAATAATAATAATAAAAATAAAATAAAAAAAAAAATTACCCAATGAAAGCAAAATTCACATAGTTAAATTTGCAAACCATATCATATCCCCAAAGGCAAACAATTGTTCGCAATGAACAACAAAAAAGGAAAATAAAAGATAATAAGAAAATCATTAAAAACTGAAATTGTCCAAGTTGCCCAACCAACAAAACCAGCTGATATCTTTAATAATTTTCTAAAGACATCAGTTTGCTAAAGAAAAAAATAAAGTCAAACCCATCCATCGAAATCAGAGCTACCAATTTCAACTCCCATCATCAGATTCAAACCACCCAAAACAAGACTTCTTGAAAATAAATTTGCTTCAATACCCACCCAAACCTATAGGATGAGCATGATCCAGAATATACCATACCATCCATTGTGCTACTAGTCAACCCGATAAGAATTTTATATCTTTCTCCTTATCCTCGACCTTGCAGAAAAATTAAGTATTAAGCAAGATTACAATAAAATGAAGTCGATTGGCGTGTAAATTGACATCACATTAATGAAACCAATGAAGCATTGAGAAATCAGACAGAGTTAAAAAGAAAAAAATTAATGATCAATAAATAACAAACAGAGGAACACATTTAGTAATTTCCAAGACCTCTCAAGCATATGTATATAACTGTGTGTGTATGTGTGTTTGTAACTTCCTCTCTCTGTATTAAGCTGTTTTTGATCAAAAGAAAGCGCATAGACCAATGAGAATGAGACGCCATACCTGGATTGACCCCAAGATTCCTATATCACGAACTAGGGTAACGAATCAAAAGATCTAGCCACTCAAGAGTTTTTGTTATAGGTGTTAAAGATCTAGGGCACAAGAAGAAGAAGACTCCAAGAGAGAGCGAGCGAGGAGAGAGACAGAACTATATAAATAGTAAATAGGATATATTTATATTTACACAAAAAAATTTAAGATAAAAATAAAAATATTACTAATTCGTTATTTCCTTCAACGATGCGTCTGTGTGTCTCTTCTTCTTCTTCTCTCTCTCTCTCTCTATCTCTCTCTAAATATCTTTCTCTCTCTGTGTCTGAGATGAAGCCTCGCTCGAAACAGTCGTATTTGGGCTCCGTTCCATACGAGAAAATTTCAGCCGGCGAATTTTATATATATATTTATGTTTTTCAACGATCAAAAGGTAAACCCAATCGCAATGGAGGCGCGTGCGTAGTTGTTAACTTCAGCCTTGTAAAATTAAATGAGACAATGGTTGTCTAAAACAGGAAAGTTGGTACGATAAGGGAACCAAACAGAATTAAAAGGAAGATATATGATGAAGTTAACTTAAAGTATTTATTCTTCCCTTTGCGGGAGCTAGCACAAAATGGGAAGTCTTTGAACGTCAATACTATTTATTTTAGGACAAGAATGGTAAGGGTTAGTAGTTAGTTGTTAGAGGATAAAGAGGCGAGTGTAAGATTTGAACACGGGCTTTCTATTAATTAAATGGTACTTTACTATTTATTTTAGAACAAGAATGGTAAGGGTTAGTGGTTAGTTGTTGGAGGAGAAAGAGGAGAGTGTAAAATTTGAACACAGGCTTTTTATTATGGTGCTTTATATTAGTTGATCAGAACATGAAGGACTATTGTCTCGTACTTTAAAAGAGATCCTTACATCGTCAATTCCCCCAATCAGAGCACGGTGTGTCTCTAAACATCCCGGAAGTCTTTGAACGTCCATACTATTTATTTTAGGACAAGAATGGTAAGGGTTAGTAGTTAGTTGTTAGAGGAGAAAGAGGAGAGTGTAAGATTTGAACACGGGCTTTCTATTAATTAAATGGTACTTTATATCAGTTGATCAAAACCATCTTCTGACAAGATTAATCTCAAAGACTTGTGCCAACCAAGATAGTTGATGTCATTGTCTGTCAATTAAATGAAACTCTCCATTTGGTTAGTCGAAAATTGATAGTGGAAAGTAAAAAGAAAAGAAAGTAAAGTGAAAGAAAATAATACAATGTTTCTATCATACATTTGGTTAGCATGATTTTTTTGTAAAAAATTTGTGGAAAAATGTTGTTTCAGTAGTTTGGTTAGCAATAATGTGAAAAGAAAATGATTTATATGCCAAAACTACCCTTATGAATTCAATACCAAGTAAAATACATCATGCAACAATTATAATAAAAAATATAAATAATTGTTTTATGAATAAAAATATATGTGCGTGCATATATATATAGAGTCCTAATTTGAAGAGTTAAAAAACTGTAACTTAATTAAGAATCATAATTTAAAGAGTTACAAAGTTGTAATATAATTAGGAGTCCTAATTTATCAAAAAAAAAAGTCGCTCCTTTTGTGAACCTACAATTTTCACGTATTTTATAAAGAAAACATTTTGAGAAAAATCAACCAGTTGCGATAATATCACATTCCTGAAAATATTATTTTATTAGTTTGAAAAGTATGAAATAGAAAATAAAATGATTGTACTTACCAAAATCACCCTTGTGATTTTAAATACTAAAAATAAAATAAATTTGTGTTACTCCCCTTGCCCAATTATTTATATTCATTTTTTAAAAACAAAATAAATAAATAATGATAATAATGATAAAATATGAAATTATTAAGAATTATAATATAACTATTGATATTAAATTTTAAATTATTTATATGTGAGGAATTTTAGAGGCTTACTTCAAAAATACACATTACCACAAATATTTGAAAAGTTGCGTAACAAATTTCTTTCCATAATTGGTGTTCTAAGTTAGTGTCATGTACAAATATATTAGAAGTCTATAAAGAGCATAAAGAAATCACCAATTGATAAGGTGTATAATAGGAAGTTTAAATATAGACACAACTTTCATGAGAAATTGAAATTTTCTATTGTTTTATGCTGGAAACATTTTGAAGAAGATCAACAACTTGCGGGAGACTAACTTTCTTCAAAATTTTGACTTTTCTTCTAACTAAACTCTAAGGCTTTGTTTGGTTAGGTAGAAACAGCTAGGAAAGAAAGAAAAGACAAAAATTTTAAACTTTTTTAAAGTTTGGATAGATATAAAGAGAATCGTAATGGAAAATTTAGTTTCCTGCGTAGAGTATTTTTTCCAAAAAATTTCAATAATTTTTTTTTTTTTTTAATTATCTGTTCTTTAGTTATTTGCAGTTCCTATTTTACCTAGCAGTTTAATCGTTGCAAAGTTCTCTCCAAAGGTAAGTTCTCTCTCAACGTTTCTCTGGCAAAGCAAATTATACAGATAGAATTTTTTTTTTAAAATTATATGTTCTATATTGCAATTCTAGCCACTCATAATCCCAAATCATACTAAAATCAGAATTTTTTATAATTAGGGATGTTATTTTAACGATTTCTTTCATTCCAAATATATACCCAGTATCCAATGTATATATGGATACTGGGTATATATACCAGAATCCAAATATATACCCAGTATCCAATATCAATATATATATATATGTGTGTGTGTGTGACCTACGAAGGCAGGTAGAAGTGGATGCTCTTTACAAACACAAAGAGACAACACATAGTATGATATATATATGTATATACACCAAGTTGTCACGCCCTGGATTCCTAAACACAGTCTCATGCCATGAATATAATAGAATTTTTAAAAAAAAAAAATTAAATTCTTTTTTATTTTTATATTCTTTACTTATTTACTTCTTCAGACCGTAAACAACTAAGACTTGTATATATTAGTATGGTGTGTAATCTGGTTAGGCTTACATGAATAATTAAAGTCAAATTTCCGTAGCATTTAAAACACGATTCTAGAGATCCAACAAAATGATTTAATTCTCTAATTCTCCGTAGTAGTGCATTTTTTACTATCTCAACAAGAAGATGGTATTCATAAGGTCATTATTAGCATTGACTAAGTAGGCTGGTAACACTTATTTCCTACTTTGTTGCATGAATGTTCTATTGAAAGATCATATTGAACTTTTGATTTAGTATATTAATGCAAGTCAATTCTGTATGATATCATATATATATATATATATATATATATATAGTTATATGGTGAAATATTTAGTTTTTCTCTCAAAGGGTAGTTTTGGTATGTATAATCATTTTCTTTTCACTTTCATGCTACTCAAACTAAAAAACTAATATTTTTCTACTATTTTCTTGGATAAATTTTCATGCCAACCAAATGTATGTTAGAAAATCACTTTTCTTTTTATTCACTTTCTATTTCTTTTCTTTTCTACCTTATTTCCATCTAATCAAACGGAGCCTAAGGAACGAAGTAATCCTCTATTTTTTTTTTTTTTGAAAGCCCCCCTTTTCTGAGAAAGGAGAATAGGAACGAAAAAATAAATAAAATAGAAAGAATTTCATTGCAACAGAAAAAAGGAAAAATCTTTTTTTATTCTTTCTTTCCTATATACATATTTAGAGAGACGGGCTTTTTATCATGATTCATGAGGACAATTTGAAGACCTATTGATTCTAACTACGGATTGCAGAGTTGATCATTCGGACCTTTCAATTCATAGACACAGATCTCGGACCTATGAATGGGGATATTCCCGAAACTCACAAAGAAAAAAGGAAGTGAGTTAGACAAAAAGAAAAGCAACTTGGACAAAAAAAAGAAATTTTTTTAAAATTTTCCTTTCCTTTTTCTTTTCTGCTACTTCCATCTAACCAAACACACCCTAAAAAATTTTAAAATTTTCCTTTTCTTTTCCTTTCCTACTTCCATCTAACCAAACACACCCTAAAGCATTTTTTTTTTTTTTACTTAATTAACTCTACTTTGTCTCGGTTGTGAAGAAAAAATATTTAATTAATTTTAATTCGTCTCGCCATTATTGGATTTGGCTGTCCATTGTTGAAGAATTTTATTTTATTTTTATTTTTTCAAAAAAATACTGTATACTGGCGATTTTCTTAACTATTTTGACACTATTGCAAAAGATGGAATGATTTTTTATATAAAAAAAATTCAAATGCAGTTTAATTGGTTTAGCTTTCTTTAATTACATGTCTAGTTTTGTCATTTGCTTTTGTTAATATTAAGAAAGGGTAATAGAAAAACAAGAAATTACTTAAAATATATATAAAAAAAGTTTATTAACTAATTACCGTATTATTATATTCTAAAGTTATGATTAAAAGTGAGAATATTATTCTCTCTATTCACAAAGTAATTATAAAATGAACAATACTTAGGTCCGATGATTTACAACATAGTCATCGTTGATGTGAACCAATAATAAATGAACATGTCCCATCTTAATTTAGATCAGAGATGGTGATCAAATCACTATCTTTGATTTGGTAAGTGAATATCAATCTATCATATTTGATTTGATAATTAAAGATCACATATTTAATTATTATTGATCCATGTTAATAGTGAATATGTTGTAAGTTTAATGAGGACCTAAGTATTATCTCAAAAAAGTATTATATATATATATATATATATATATATATAACACAACAAGAAGGCTCGAGAGATAGATGAAAAAAGAAAATAATAAATATTAGTAATTAGTGCGTGCGGGTTACTGAAACAAAGCGCGTGGCTAGAAAACTTATTTTCTGATACGAGGACAGTTTTAACGCTTGTAGTGAATTACTATAATACCCCCATCCGACCCCTTTTTTTGGCTTGTTACTGCGGGATGGCGTCTGAAACTAACTAGAAAAGGTTGCAAAAAAAGGAAATTGGCTACTGGGGTTGTGTCTAAAACATGTAATGACAGAAATACCCCCTCCAGAATCAGATGCCCGAGGATCTACGCTTCTTACCGTGCTACAGTGTGATTTTATATTTAACCTAATCTCCATCATAATCTTGTAGACTCTGTTGGTTTATAAAAGTGTCTATTTAGCCTAGGTAGATTGTTCCATTTAGTGGGACCCAATATAAGGCCACGTTTGTTCACGTGCTGTATGAGTTGTTTGTTGACCAGTGTGTAAATTAGTAGAGTTGTTCCGATGAAATTTTTTTTATTTTTTATTTTTCTACTTGTAAAAAAATAAAATATAAAAGATAGTAGAGGATGTTTCTTGAGAAGATTCAGAGAAAAGTCAAAGACTTTGTTTCTTGCACACAATGTATGAA